CTAGACAGCCTCCTGTGACTTTCCCCCACATCCTCACCACACTGTCCTTTGAGCTCCAGGGCCTCAAACCCATTGTGTAAGGGCATCTCGGGAGGCAAGGCAGGTAGGGACCTCACCTGTGACACCGAGCAGGGACCTGTTTCCATTCCTCCCCATCTCCTGGGTCCCCTCCCTCCACCCCGACAGTGACAGGGCAGGGTGTCCCCCGATATTTGTGGCATATTGCCCCGATGCCTTTCCTGCAGGCAGGGCAGGGAGTCGCCCCAGCAGTCTGACTCTTGCTCACACACCCTTTGTGCCCGATCTCTCCTCCCTGTTTTGCGTGTGATTCAATTTCATACCACACTGTAGACTGATGAGACATGTTTTTGCTTTTCACTTATGGATTTCCAGCTAAACAGAAATGTTAATGGGCTAAGGAAACGAGAAAAAAGAGAAAAGGAAATATAAACCTATAATGCTTTTTTTCCTCTTTTCCCATGGGCCAGGATCAGGCACCGCTGAAAAGTGTATTTTTATTTTTTTGTGGTAAGTTATATAAAACAAACACCACCACCACCCCCAAACAACAATAACAACAAAAAAAAACAAGTCCACCACAACTTAAACAAATAGTCCCAACTAAAAGTGTGCACTAAATATCAAAGCGTATGGCATTTAAACGGGGAACTGGGGGAACAAAACAGGGAAGAGTAGGTGACTTGTCCAAGGTCAAAGGCAGAATCTGATGCTGCCGAATTCAAGCCCAGACATTGTTTTCATGCATTTTTTTTTTCCAATGATATGAAAGGGATCATGGAGGGATGCTGTCATGAAAAATGAACGCTCTAATTCTGAAGTCATCCTGAAGGTGTTTTGTCCTCTAGCCATGTTGCACTGAATTTCAGTTACATACAATACCAAATTAGATGTTTATTTTTGTTAATATTTAGTGAGTTTAGCAATGATCTGGGTACAAGAATGAGCAAGTGATTGGAATCAGTGCTGGCAGCTGAACCTCCAATAATGTCTATGCTTTTTTCTTCCCCTGGACTGATGGTGAAGACTAGACTTTGCTGCTTATGTCCATTTGGGGTCATGAGTATGGCCCAAAGGTCTGTTGACTTGTAAAGGGCTATAATTTCAAGTCAGAGTGCTTGATCTGGAGTTACTTATAGGACCAGGCCTGTAAGTAACCAGAGGTGGTATACTTTCCTGATCTGGGATGTTGCTTGGCACAGAAAAGGGCTGAAATTATTTCATAAACTGCAGTATGGACTTCTGCTGAGAGGGCAGTAAAATGGCACAGACTGAAAAGATGTAAAGCTTCATTAGTATATTATATAAATGTGCAATTATTGCACGTTATTTGTATATTATACAAATGTGCAATACCCAAGACCCATGCACAGAGGTTCTGGCTTTGATATGGTCACTACTGCTCACTATGATAGCAAGCCCAAATCAGAGAGACAGTACAGTAGGGTGGTTGTGTTTTGCATGAGATGGGTCGCTGATCAGTGCAACAGAAGAGTGTGGATGTGGGCACAAGACAGCTGTTTTGCTTGTCTGATTCATTCATTAGCTTCAGCTACACCCTTTACAGCTAGGACATGTGCAATTACAAGCAATTACCGTGATTAATCTTCTTATTGTCATATAAATTCAGCACCTGGCCAATAAGGCGTGTAGCTGTCTGCGCTAAGGACAATGCTTCAGGCAAGGGTTATACCCCTGTGTAAGGTTCCCTTTCACTTGCCTTTTTCCCACTCATTTCTTGACAGTCTTGAGTTTCTGCTGAGCCTTCCTTGTCTTTTTCAGCTTGACCTGAGTAATCTGTTTGACGTCCAAACATCAGTTGTGAGCTGTCAGTGGGAGAGCTCTGCTACAAAATTGCACGGTCTTTAAGGCAAAAAGCCATCATTCAATTCAGTGGAGCAAAAAGCCATCATTCACATCAGCAGATCTTCCTCATATTTGCAACCAAGCGACCTCTGCAGTGGTTAGATGGCACCTTGATTTATAAGAGATTGCTGACTTTGGATCTTGATTGAAGCAAGATACTGCTCTTCACATTGAAGTCTTGAATGCTGGATACCTTTATCTCTTGGTATCTCACAATTAACCCCAGGCAGGAGTAAAACTCCTCTAAGTGGCTAATTCTGATCAACAAGTGCAGCACAAGATATTGTGGGCTTGTGCAAAAAAAATGTCTCCAGCAAAACCGGGCTTTGGGCTCTGTATTTGTCCTCAGCTTCTGGCTGGCCATCTGGAAATGGACGCACGTGCTGTCCAATTCTGTAGCTGGCTGTTGGATCTCGGTCTCTTTGGGGTGCTAGGAAAGGTTTTTTTGATACAGAACAAAGCTGTGATTTAGGAGTTGTTCAGTGATTAGAGAAGGCTTTGAATTTAATGCCTGATTGCCAGGCGCTCCGTTCTCTTAATGAGTCCAAAAAAACCGACCCCATTAACTAAAGATAAAAAATCAGATAGCGTTAATTTTATGGTTCCATTTTATATTGCTGTTTACACACAGCATTTGTTACCGTAAAAGCTAACTTATCCTACCCATAATCACTGGACTTGCACCAGGATATTTCAAGAAACAAACTTAACTTTCCTTACACGTCATGAATCGGCCTGCATATCTTTGAACAGGGTCCCAGTTATGAGAATTTTTCTGCATTTCATTTTGCTGGTCACTTCAGGGTGTGTGTTTATACTGGAATGCATTTTAGTAGCCGTTTCCTTCGAGTTAGGCTTGCCAACAAACTTCTCGTCTTTGTTCTTATTTCCAGTAGTTAACTTTGTTGTTTAACACAGGTAAACAACAGAGAGAGTTTTAATGTTCCCAGAAGTAGAGTTATGTGCTTCTTAATGTAATTGATATGATAGAGTAATAGTTGGAAGGGCACTATGGTCATTTAACCTTATATTTATAGGGAAAAGTGAAGTATATAGTAAATATTGCAGCCCTTGGTCTGTATCTTTGAACTGTTGGACTAGCATCACTAATATTTTCCTGTAAACCCGTATAAAAATAGACGTCTGCTATCTTTATTCAGGATTACAGAAGACTATTTTTAAACCAAACCTTTTGAATGATGCAGATTTTCAGCTTGAGTACGCTGCTATTGCTCAGACAAAGTGAATTGAGACAATTCGTGGCTCAGTCTATAAGGCACGTAGGAAAGATTCCTTCATAGAAAAGACAAACCACCCACACTGCAATCTCAGCCGTGTATTTACGTTTAACTCAGTAATTTCTCACTCTGCAATGGGAAATAAGTGAGTTTATCCTGTAGCTCTTATCTGTGTAATTGTTTTCATGTTGTTTCTGGTTAATCGTTATCCACACCCATCCTAATTCTGTCAGCAAGTAAAATGTAAAAAATATTAACTTCTGTACATAAATGAGACCTTCTCATAATTATCTTCTCCTCTCTGTGTCACTCAGCTGTCTTGTAATGGTTCTACTTCAGCAAGAGGCTGAGCAGCACGACAAACTGCTTTTTAGCCCTTGCCAATTATAAATCTCTCTATTCTTAGGACATTAAGCAGCTTAAAGAGGGCTGGAACTGAAGATCTGGTTGCCTGGCATATGAGTATTTAACATAAGAGTTTTAGGCATGTTTTATGTTGATTTCGTGCCTTAGATTCCTTACCATACACGTGCATTGCAAGGGAGGGAAGAAATTGAAGGGATTAATTTCAATTTAGGGAAAGTTTTAATCAGTCACAACCGATGAGTTGAACTTTGGACAAGCAGAGCTGAAGTCTGTGAAAGCTAAAATTTGGAGAAGTGGATAGCTTGCCACATTTCAGCTAATACTTGCAGATTCCCAGGTACAAGTGCTGTAAAATCAGGAAGCGTTTCAGGATGGCTGGCATATGTGGCTTGAGTGTAGGCATCTTAATCCAGGATGTGCGCTCAGAATTATCAGGTCCTTGTTCCCCTTCAGACTCTGCCGTGTAGGGATGCTCGGAGGTTCTGGGAACAGTTGCAGCAGGGAGGAAAGCCAGATGATGTATCAATCTGCAAGAGTTTGTTTTTGTGTAAGAGCCTCTTCTGTTTGTATTAGGGGATTGTGTTTACTCTAGGATCAAATAAAAGTCCTAATAATGGAGCAAGGTGGGGTCATTTTCTGTTTTGAGTTCTATGACTCCTCATGGAGTGCTTTCTGTGCAGAATGAGTTTACTTATGAAGCAATTAATGTGTACTCAGGGAAAGTGGGGTATTGATTTAATGGAACAGATAACCACGGGCTGTCCTCCCCTGACTTTATCACTTGGTCGTCTGATCTGGGCCAGCCTATGTGATTCCTACTCACAGGCTCTGTCCATTGCGATGCGCCTCTGCAGCTGGTGATTCAGTTCAGGTAGGTTTATTTGCAAGGACAGGCTCCCAGTTCCATTAAATGTGGCTGCACTGAAGCCTCTGGGCTGACCTGAAGCCCACTGACTCCATTTGATCAAGCTGCCAGTTAGAAAAGCCACTGCAAGCTGCTTGCTACAGCACTGTAGTAAGCCATTAATAGGCAGAAAAAATTGTTTTTCAGACAAATTGCAAGAAGCTTCTACAGAAGTTTTCATGTAATTATTTTTTTTTCCCTCCTCTGCCTCCCTGAAGTGTCTGGAGACACTTTGTTGAATGTTTAGGCAAATATTTTTCAATGGAAATAAATCATTTTCTTTGGTGCCTGTTCCCAAGACAAGGGTAACCATTGCTACTGTTCCTGGGCTTTGTGAAGGGTAGCAGAGAAATCTGTCTATTGTCAATGCCATAACAGTAATTTCATTTATTTCACCCTGTGCAATGGAAAAGAGGCTTTCCACAACAGCACTGCAGGGACTCTGGACGTGACTGGAAAAAACACGTAAAGCATTTTTTATGGTCAACAAATGGTTATGATTTTAATGAGCCATGAATACACCAGGAAAAAAAAAATCACTTTGGGTTACTGATGTGTTTTTGAAGAATGAAATAATCGGGAGCCATCATACGAGGAATGTGGGTTTGTTTTTTTTAACAACTTCTAAAGAACATTTGAGATGTTAGGAAGGCTTTCCAAGGAAAGCATCTACTGGAAGAGGCCACGGCTGGACCATGGTCATTTTTACAGATAGAAAAGGATGTCTTGGCCCTAATGAAGAGCTAAAATTCAGTCAGGGTGATCGGAAAAGAGAATGCATCCTTTACATCCCCTGTAACAAGGAGATGGGGCCTGAAGCTGTGTCCTGAGGAGGCTCTGCTGGTGCTCCGAGCCTCCCAAGATTTTTTTCAGTAAAAAGTCAGGATGTTAGACTCCTCTAATTCTTGCTTAAAGGAAAATCTCAGTGTGAGTACCCTCATTCCCACTGTTGCCTCTCCCTGAAAACATGGGGCTACATTCCTTGTTAGTTCACAGAGCTGGCGCTGACCCATGGCCTTGGCTAGAATTAATTTCTGTTTGCTGAAGATCTAGGTCACAGTTTTAAGCAAGCTTAGCCACGTTTCTCCCAACTCCATCCTACTCCTTCCAAAATACATGCCCATATCTCTCCTGCCTGGAGCTTTCTGTTGCCTTCCCTGCACTTGCTGTAGTTAATGCCTTTCTCCTCCAACCCTCTCTGAACGTGCTGGTGCTCCAGCCTGTGTGCCAGGCCCTGCTAACAAGCGACTGAAGAGAAGCACAGTCAGTCATTTCCTGACTATTGTTGCGTTACTGGACCTGAGACAAGCCGTTGTTTCTGACTCACAGCTTCTGTATGCTGGCAAGTGCTCCTGCAGCCAGCGACGTGGCTCAGATGAGTTTATCTGCAAGTCTTTGCAGGTTTTTAAAGACAGAAATGAAATCACATTCATTTTCAGAGAAACTACTTAGTTTTAGGGCTCAGCTGGAGCAAAACCGTGCTTGAATTTCAGTGCTTATATAATTTTGATGGCTGATTGGAAACTGCAAAGGGAAGCTCACCCAGGAGGGCTGCATTTTGCCCTGGGGACAAAGCCATGCAAGGCCACGTGAAGTTTACATCCATCCACGGCCCAAGTTTGCAGTTTTAGCAAAACTTCTTGAACAGCTGTAGCTCAGATTTTATAGTGCTACTTACAATTTTAACAAGGCAGATTTCCACTGATTTCCTTTTTTTTGTTTTGTTTTGTTCAGGGGTCTGTTTGATCTGATTAATAGATGGAGAACTTGTACATCAAGGTGCATATGTAACAGTTTGACTTCTATGATATTGTCTGAGATTTTTTTGGAGGGAGGGGAAGAAACTGCATGAGTAATGCTGCCAGAGAAGCTTTGCCTGAAATAGTCACCGGCTTCTTATGTTTTCACAAGGCAAACTTTCTGAACATATAAGTACAATGAATAAAAGCACAAACTGCTGGTTAAAAAGTGTTGGTGACCTGTTCTTTGCAGAGCAGATCCTTTTATCTTGCAACAGCAAGAACAGTGCATGAGACTTGGAAGTCACTTCTGACTATAACATTACACTTTTAGTTTTTATTATTATTTTTATTTCTGGATTTGAGCAACTGAACAATTTTTTATGAAAAGGGAATTTTTGAATGTCTGAAAAAATCAAGTAGCAGGGAGAAGAGCTAGTATCAAGATCTATCCTGTCCCTCCTTTCTTCTCTTTTGTACCTTGCCCTAAGGTCTTGGGGGGTAGGGGTGGGGGAAGTCCATTTGCCTAAGGTTTTTCCTTAGGCAAATTTTTCTTCTGTAGACTTGCAGCATGGTTGCTCTCCTAGAACCTCTCAGGTTCTTTCAGCCGTCATCAGTTGTAGCTGCTGTCTGCTAGGCACTGTTAGGCCAGGCTGTTGGGTTGGAAGCACTTTGGATTTTTAGGAGAAAAACAGTCCTTCCAGCAGGCAGGTCAGAAGCCAAGCTGCTAAAGCAGCGCTATTTACCTAGGCAGAGGTACAAATTCCCTGCAGGAAGGTTTGTAGGTATAAAAGAGCTAAAGGTTTCCCCAAGACGAAAGGCAAGATAGACAAGAGAGGACAGAGCTAAGGAGGAAGAGGCATCTCTACTCAGGAAACATCTGCTTTGGAAACAAGAACCGAATGAGCAAAAAAAAAAGTACAAGCTATCAGAAAAATAAGCTGAGTGTTTAAAAGATTGCACCGCTGGCGAGACAGCGTGTTTGTGGTAGAGGCAGTGAGAGGCATTCAAGGAGTCAGAAACAAATGGACATGGTAAGGCAGCCTTAATTAAGCTAACCACAACTGCCTGCTACTGCCTGGCTGAGAGGTTACAGCATCCAGCAGGACGTGACTGTGTATGGTGTTAGAAAGAAGTATAAAAAATCCTCAAATTCTGTTCAAGCTTTAGACACCAGCAAGGTTTTGTGCTAACTAGTCGTGGTGATACTCAAGTGAGGGGTGACAAGAACATGAAGGTAAGCCCTTGACACACCTCGAGTATTAGGAGCTGGGTTAAGTTGCAGTCCTACCTACGAGTTTCCTTTCTGTAAGCACAGGAATCTCATCTCGATCTCCAAAGTGGGAGGTGAGAATGTGGTTTTGGAGGTGTCTGGCCACAGCCCTGGAGTTGTCTCTGTGTGTGCAGAACCTTGCTGATTCCCTGGGGCTTTATTAGCATTGAAGGACTTGATAGTGAGAATCGAGATTCAGGATTGAATAAAATAATGATCTGTGCAAATAATTAATGTATCCCTGCATCACCAACACAGCCTGGTCAATTCTGTTTTCATCCACCTCCCCAGAGGGCCTGGGGGAGCAGGTCGAGTGGTTGGGGAGCTCCTTCTTGGTCTCAGGACGAGGACACACAGTCCTGGCCTCTGACCAGCAGAAGCAGTCTTGGTGTATGTCAGGCAGGTGCAGACAGGCAGAATTGGGTGTTGAAGTACGCTGCCCAGCTGCTCTTGCAGGTGAAAAGACCATTTGTGTTCCCCTGGAGCATTGGTGCAATCAATAAGTTTTGTCTTATTTCCAGTTTGATTGTTTATGAGTAAGTTACTGACAATTATAATGCTCTGCTAGGCCTGGTGCTCATTAAAGGAAGAAAATAGACCCTCTACCAAAAGGAGATATTATACCACGTAAACCCAGAGGTTTTTCATGGGAACTTACAAATAGGGCTAGTGATAAAAATACAGACACAGTCCTGTATTAAGCACCCTGACCGAAAGGTGCTGAGACGTTAATGGTTCAGGGTCAATATCACAGCTTTTACTGAAGTGCTGCTATGATTAGAGAAAGAAAGGCAGGAGAGGAAACAGAGAAACCAACAAAGGCACAGTAGGGCTCAGAGCAGGACTGAAAGCCGCACCATACAGCAGCTGCTGGTCCCCACGGAGTGTGATTCCTGCGGGCAGAGCTGGCAGGGAGCACAGCCCCCCTGAGCTCCTGTTGTGGTGGTGAGCACAGACTCTGTTATTTTGAAGTGAAACTCTTCTGAGTGCCTCTTTTGCACAAGCACGGATTAAAAAAAGGCACGAGGTGACACCTAACAAGTCATATGTGCCTGTAAGTCAGGGCTTGTGTGTTCTAGGTAGAGCTAGAATGAATCTTTAATGAAGAGAAGGTGGAGGGCAGACGGTAAATGCCCCCTTTTTAGATCCTCCTCTCCAATCTACCCCAGCCTTCCATTCTGTGCAATGCAGGCACTGGGTCTCATCCTCTGAAGACTATGCCGAGCACGTTTTAAATCTGTCTGGGTTTATCTAGCTGCCTGAGCTCATACCAGTAGCAGTTCACAAGACAGGAAACTCCACTCAAACTGTGCACGTAGATACAGACTGAAATCTAGCAGTAAAAGACACGCGTGATTCCCCCCCTCACCACCCACCCCAGCCCTCCCGGTCACTCACACCCCCCATTAAGCTTCATGTTCACTTATGGAGGTAAGCGTCCAGCCATAGATCTCCAGATTTCTTTAGGGACCTGTGGGAAGAAAAAAAATGAAGAGAAGTTTGCTTGGCTTGTGAATCTTGCCTCTGTTATTTTGTTCCTACAAAGTCTGTTACTGAATCTGGGTATGAATCCTTAGGATATTAAATGTCTTTTCTCAGTATATCAGCTATGGTAAGAGGAGCTAGCTGTTTTGCTCTTTAGCCCCCCAAAGTTTCAGACTCAAAGAGCAAGATCTTCAGGTGATGCCCCTTGTACCAGCTGTAGTTCCTCCTATTCCAGCTCTGTTGGGAGGGCAAGCAATTGCTGAGGTGGTTACTGTAAACTTGCATAGGAACATGAACTCTGCCTTTTAGGGTGCTGGGTATAATCCCCCTGTGTCTCTGTGTTGGGTGGATTTTCCTGTGCTGATTGCACGATGGGGCCAAAGGAGGGTTGGGAACAGTTTTCAGCCCTTCTGCATCTTGGGGCCAATCTGCTTGGATTTGTATTTGCTTAGAATGGCTTTCTTGAGACTGACTTAGGGGAGGTCCATGGACAGCAGAATAGCTGCTTATATTCCGTGCCATGAATTATTCCCCTTGGGGTGACCGAGTCACAAACACGAACACAGCCTGCCTGAGGGTGGTCTGTTAGACTAATCTTCACCTCTGCTCTTAGGGAACAGTCCTTTGCTGCTAGCAGGGCTCAAATAGGAAATGCCATGGGCTGTAACCTGATTCATTCCCCTTTGATTCCTCAGTTTGCAGCCCGAAGATGTGCTGCCAGCTTCCAAAGGCAAGAATCACCAGCTATCAGAACAGCATTTAAGAAGGATAGAGCTTAAAAAGTCCCTATGAAATCAGTTTAGTGCTGATCTGATTGCTGGTTTCACCAAGTACTTTGACAGAAGCTGCTCTGGGGCTAGTTCTTTCTTCTCCCATGACGTTGTGAAGCAGCTTCCCAACTGCTGTCACCTGAGGCTGCTCCACTCTATCAGTGGAGCTGTGTCACTTCTGCTGAAAAAAAACACACATTTCTGCAGGTATTTATTGGATTGTGATATGAAGGTTATTGCCCTAGTGAAACCAGGTTACAAAATACTGACATGCTGTCTTTAAAGGGTCTGTAGTGTCCTGAATTCTCTGTAGGAAAGTACATAGGATGTTTATATAGCAAGGAATTGCAGGCTGCAGGAATTAAAAGGACCTTACCCAACTATGTCTACAAATGCTTTTCCAAGAGGCTTCTCTTCGTATTGGACTCCATACTTGGCACATAATGACTTCACCAAAGGTTTGACTTTCCAGAAATTGTGCCGTGGCATTGTTGGAAACAGGCTTGAATAGAGAGAGAAAACAAACATGAGAAAACTCTAGAGACTAATCCCAAGGGATGGGCATCTTTGTCTGCCTCCTCATAGGGGCTAATTAATAATGTCTCCTCCTCAAACTGTACAAGTAGACAAAAGAAAAAGAGGCAGAGAGATCCATGCTTTACAGTCCTCTGCTTCCAAGTAGCTCGTGAAAACTGAATGCATTCATTCTGCTGCTGTTGTGTCTCAGAACAAAGCTGTGTTCAAGAGAGAGAATGAAAGTCAGTTTATGCAGAAAAGGACACAGCTGGAATGCGAGGGGAGCAGGAGTGAGGAAAGAGCTGTCTGTTTCCTTTGGGCAGAACTCATTTTCTTGCCAAATTAGATAGTCAGTGAACCTGTTTTCCATCCCTGGAAGCTTGTGGAACTGAGAAGCAGGTATTAGAATCTGGGATCACCTTGCCCTGTACATTTCAATGAAGATTTCCTAAGTTGGCTTCCAAAACAGTCAGCTTTACCCTAGAAGGCATCTCTTTTATATTTTGATTTGTCACGGGTAATGGGAAGACCGGGCATGGCCCTGGTTTTAATATCTTTCCTGAAACCTGGTGCTCAGCGGTGTATGCAGTCCTACACAGGTGCCTCCAGCTATGAAACGCTGAAGTCCTTTTAGTCAGGGAGAGGAAATTTCTGAAATGGATATGAAAGTTCAAGTAGTTAGCTTAGGATACAAGTCCAAAGCATCTATATCTTGTCCAGGCCCTGTTTTTACCATGAAGGGTTGGAGCAGGTGATCTCTGGGACCTTACAACCTGGGCTTTTCTGTGATTCTGTCTCATCTCACATGTCTTTAGCAGAGTTTTCCCTGCCTCAAGTTCAGTGTTGTGACAATCTGGTAATGACCAAATGATGCTGGGTCCATACTCACTGGTGCTCAATTTGAAAATTCAGGTGCCCGGTGAACCAGTCGTTGAAAAAGGACTGCTCGATGTTGCAAGTGGCTGCCAGCTGTGAAGGCAAGAAAGCAGCAGTGAATATTAGTGAAGCCTCGCCCTGAAATCAGCACAAAGCTCCTCTTCTCTGTGCCAGGTAAGAGAATGAAATGTGTCTTACCCCACTGCTGAGCTGTCAGAGCGCAGAAGGCTGCCCTTCTGAGCTACCTGATCACAGCAAGGGCAGCTTTAATCCTCCTTCAGGGATTGCTGTCAGCTGTCGTGCTGACAGTGCCTTTACAGGTTTGAATAGTGGTCAAAGGACAGGGAAACAGTCCCATTTGGTGACACATCAGCCCAGCTAGAGGCTCCTAAATCTCAGCCTATCTAGTTGAAGATCAGATGGTTAAAAACAGTACCAAGATGGGAAATTGAGGAAGAAAAAACACAGGGGCACAGGAAGCCTCCTTTCCCCATCCCATCTAGGTATTGTCCAGTGTGATTTAAGTGTTAAATCTGAATAATAGAGAAATATTTCTTAGCTACCCCTGCTATTGTAAAAATATCTTTGATTGCAAAGTTAGGTAGTCTTAAAATCCTCTTGGACTTCTAACTGGCTAAACTGTGATTTCTACACAGTTACCACAGGAAATGTATTTTTCCCATCCCTGAAGTTGTCATAAAATTGTGTCAGTGTCAAAAAGGTTTACCTCTTTCTGTTTCTTTTCCTTTTTTTTTTTTTTGGTCATACCTACATTTGCTCTCTGCCACGTTTCTCTTGTTCATAATCTTTTGCTTTCATAATACTCCCCCCACCCCATCACTCTTTCTTTCCATAAGTATGTGAATCTACTAAGATTTACATGATTTACATACTTATTTAAAAAAATGCTTCAGTGTTTTAGTGAATCATGGCATAAGGGAAGGAAAAGCACGGGTGGGAAGGCTCTACAGAAGGATCTGGACAGGCTGCGCTGATGGGCCAAGGCCTACGGGATGAGGTTTAACAAGGCCAAGTGCCGGGTTCTGCACCTGGGGTGCAATAACTCCAAGCAGAGCTACAGGCTGGGAGATGAGTGGTTGGAGAGCTGCCAGGCAGAGAAGGACCTGGGGGTATTGGTTGATAGTCAGCTGAATGTGAGCCAGTAGTGTGCTCAGGTGGCCAAGAAGGCCAACAGCATCCTGGCTTGCATAAGAAACAGCGGCCAGCAGGACCTGGGAGGTGATCGTCCCCCTGTACTTGGCTCTGGTGAGGCCACACCTCGAGTGGTGTATTCAGTTTTGGGCCCCTCACTACAAGAAGGACATCGAGGTGTTTGAAAGAGTATTCTATTATTCTGTAATTCTATGAAATTGCCTGGCAGACTTTGAAAGCCCGTGTTCAAGACCCCACTAACAACCACAATTACTACTTACACTGGTTAACGTGAGGTTATTTCTTCTCCCAGCTCAATTATACAAAACTCATATAGCCAGTGTCAAAGTTACTGTCACTGTCCTCTGGGGCCGAATGGGACTTGGTCTACTACAGATAAGAGGTACGCTTTCAGTGCATTTATCTTACTGGGCGATAAAGAGATTCATAAAGCAGCTGGTTTTTATTCCAGTCCTTATTCCCTTAGAAAACTATAAACTTTAGAAATATACTGAGCTCTCTCTTCAACTGGGGTTGATGTATTTTCAGCACATTGATTTACAGCAGCCAAAGATAGCATTTAGCGTTAACTGTTGATTTTCATTGAGGCTCTTCTATTTGCTCGTGTGTGCCTACAAATACCACAGGAAGGTCAAATCATGCTTGGACCTGATCCTGCCTCAAATCAGAAAGAACAACAAAGATATCTTTTGATTGTCAAAGTTAAAACAGAAGTTTGGGCTTCCATGTCTTGAATCAGCATTACTGACTCTGGGAGAAGAACTTTACGGGACAGGTCATGGATAGAGACTGTGCACTAGTATTTTGTATGTTTTTTGGGGGGGGAATTACTTGGGAATAGTGGTAATCCATCCATTGTTTTTGAATAAATTTCTAATCCAGTTTGGGGTGAGTGGAGTCAGAGATCTTCTTCTTCCCTCCCAGTTAGTTACCTGGGAGCTGAGCCAATCTTTGTGTTTCTCAGAATCAATTTCCATTGGAATGTGATTCATCTGGGTGACCCACACAAACCAGTGACTCTCCAGAAACCTTTAGAAACAAACAGAGAAAAAGCACAACAATTGATATTGCAGACCAGGATCTCAGCTAATCTGGGGTTTATAGGGAGCAGCAGGAGATACTGCATGTGAGGAAAGTCTTACTCCAAGGTATGGAAGTAAACAAGTCTCTACCTAGGGAAACTACAGAGAATCACTTCTGCAATGAATTTCTCTGTCTTTATAACTCTGGGACTAATGCAATTATGATTACCTTTGCAGAAGGACACCCTACTGAGCTATCCCTCTCCTTCCTCAGAAGTAGATTGATCTTTCTTGCTAATTTTGCCTTTCTGTAAGTAAGGGTGATCCAAGTACTTGAAAACAAAACAAAACAACCGAGCCCTGATTAGAAGTTCTCTGAACTGTTTTTATTTTTGCAGTTGCTTGCTGGATACAGATTATTTTTAAAATCCACCTGCCCATTGGTGTTAACTTTATCACGCTGGGGGTCCCACCTTTGCTCTCTGTACCTTTACTGTAATTCTGAAGTCTGACCTGGGCTGGCAGTCACTTTAAAGTGGCTTATTTGATGCTTATGGTAATAAAACTACATTTTTAGCCCTCGTAGAACAGTCTGCAGCAATGCACTTTATCCAATGCAGGTTTTCTATGCTGAGACTGAGATGTATGCAAGGTAGTTATCCAGGAGCATCTTTGTTCTAGTCTTTAGGCTTGATTTCTAAAATAGCAGATGATCTGAATCTCTGCTTTCACCAGCAGTAATTGCATATAATCACAGACTGGAGTAAGCTAATTAAAGAGTGGTTTCGGAAATGTTTCGAAGTCTGGATTTTGATGGGTATTTTTTTTTCCTCAGTATTTTAGTCTAGCTTCTAGGGGATGAATGAGAGTGCTCATGTCATGCATCAGCTATTTAGAACAATCTCAACTTTCTACAAACTACTCGTGTCTAGGGTCAAAAGAAAACTAGATGTTTTTGTTTAACTTTATGCCCTACATATTTTGATTGAAAGTGAAGACCCTCCTTACGTATCCTCATTTCTCTGAGCAATGGGAGAGCTGAGTACAAAGGAACATTGTTCCCTAAAGCTCCTGGGGCTCTCCTCTTCCTGACTCAAGTATAACAGAGCTATTATTAATAGGGAACTATCTCCTGATGAATCTTCATGATTAATTAGAAACAATTTTGCAAGGGGAATATTTGCCTTCTTGCATTTTTAGCTTAATCAAAACATTAAAATTTTTGAAATAATAGGTCAGTTGTTGTCAATTTGTCAGCTTGATTCCAGACCAAAGATGTTGACTATGTATTTACACAAATGTGTATCTTTTGTAGTTCCCGTTTTTCTTTGGACTGAAGTGGTTTGAGGCTATGAAAACTTAAGTCATGAACAGTGACATTAATTTTTTTTGGAGGCAAATCTTCATGTTTTATGAAGGTTTTTGTGCATCTGTTGCTATTTCTTTTTACTCTACATTTATTTATTTAGAAAATATTTTTCACCGTGATGAAATGTTTTCCTAAAACTAATGCTGGCTGTGGGACTAAATGCCATTCTTTGGTACTAGCCAGAAAAGCTGCAGATATCACATACAAGACAGAAATATGTATTCAGTGCTGCTACCTGGAATAGCGTAACCATTCAGTGAGTAAGCCTACAAAGCCCTGCCATGCCTGATGCATTTTGGCAGCTCGTGCTTGTAGTTCATGTTTTTGTGCCTCTCACAGAATTTTCCATTCATCAGACATACAGCAATAATCAAATTAATACTCTTGCTGTACTAAGAGCAGCTCTTCATGAGTTCTGCTAATGATAAATGGCCAGAAGACCAGTCAAAAATCAAGACATGCAACAAGCACTTCTCCATAGATTCACTGAGGGGTGAGAGGCAGCTTTGGAGGGGTAGGACTGGAGTGTAGGGACAGGAACACTGATCTGTGGTGTGAAACAGCTTTCGGAGGCCATGGCCTCTGTGTAGAAGCAATGATGTGTGCATGTAACGTACAGGCCATGCATTCTCCTGCACTGGGAGAAATGGTGAGCATTTCACTTAAAGTGCTCAGGAGGGCTCCTGAATTACCTTCCCAGTGAGCTGGGAAGAGGGAGGCTTGAGGCACTTTGTCCAGCTTTAGACAATGTGGAAAATGCATGGAAGTGTTGGAATCAGGCATCATGGGGAATGAGGAAAGAAAGGAGCATCCTGGCTGAACCATCTCAAGTGCTGAGCACCAGCTCCAGCTCTGCGGAGAGGAAACAGCACTGGGAGACGATATGGAGAACGTGAGGCAGTGAGAATACCCAGGATAACGCACAGTGAGGTAAATGACTGCAAAGAACCTAAACGGAAGGCGTGGGGCCCATAGCAGAGCAGAGACTTGCTCAGCCCAACGCTGGAGGGAGGGGAGAGCAGCAGGGAGCTCCTGTATCTCCTACCTGACAAAAGTGAGGAGAGACAGGGATCCCAGAACGCCATAGAATGGGATGTATGTGATGAAATAGCGCATGTAGTAGCTGAAGGCCCAGGCTAGGTCCTAGGGGAAGACAGAAAACATCAGGCATCTCTTAGCCTATTTCATACAGCATGGCTCTGCTGGTAATGGTGAGGACATTGGGAAATTAGCAGAAAAGTGTGATCCCTTCATACCCTCCCTTTGCCAGGTCTCTTTGTGGTGGAGAGATGTCTGGCCTCTCTCCCTACTCAAGTGTAATTTCCTACGAGCCAGCTGGACCCCACAAACACTGACAAAACATTTCACTCACCGCCCAGAACCTGCGCTTGATCATGGTTGAGATGATTTGGATTTGGAAATACACGGGGATGAGCAGAGGTGGGAAGACTGCAAAGCAAAGGGAAATATTTTGGACATCAGAGAGGCAGGAAAGCGCGTGACATGAGAGTGACCCAGTGATTTAGGAACTGTTTCGAGGTAAGTCCGAGCACTGGTAATGGAGGTGATGTACTGGTGATGGGGGCAGTTGCCTTTCGGTGAAGAAAGGAGGCTCTGGTTCACAAGTGTTCATCTTGACTTATCAAAGAGCATCAACAAACCACATGCAGTCATTACATTGAGCCTCTCACACACAGATTACTTCCCAGTCTCAATTGCTTGCCTAGCTGGCAACGTGAAAGACACTTGGATATCAGTGAGAAATTCCCAGCAGATTTAGAGACCTGCACAGGTAGACCATTAATGAGATCTTGGGAAGGGCAAGACGAGTTGAGACTTTGAGTTGCTCTGCTAACACAGGAGGGGCTGGAAAGTTCAACAGACTTTCAGTTCCCCTCACCAAAGGGAAAAAGGAGGAGCACGGTGCAGATACTCACTGAAGAAGAAGTACTCATGCTGGTGGTTGTAAGGCAGGTACTTCAGCTTCTTCTTGCCATACTGCAGGACACAGATAAGAAAGCTCAGTCTCGGACTATGACCCCCACATGTAAGAGAAGATTCCCTGCAATGCTTCTTTATTGTCTGGAGAGTTCTGACCGAACTCCCACAGCAGGAAAGCTAGGAAGTGTTTTGCTATGGTTAAATATCATGACTTCATAATTGTGCTATGTGTAAATTCCTTTTTAAAGCCTTCTGTCTTGATGTTCAGATAATTTCTTGTTGTGCGCCTGGGGGCATTTCCGTGCATTTCTACACCTTCTGCCATGCCTGCAGCTGTGCTAAGACCTGCTATTTTCTTTGTTATTATCAACACAAATTTTATGCATAGAGAAATATGACCTTAGGTAAGTCATTATGCAGGATACCGATGGCAGAGCAAGGCAGTGAACCTTGGCTAGTCTTCCATGCAGATGTCCTGCACCGATCCATTTTGGCTTCTGCAGCCATCAGCCCCATGAGCCCTGGTGGCTTGTAAAACCTTACTTTACCAGCAGTGGGAAAACCAGTGTGGCCCTTTGCTCATGTAACAATAATTCAAACAGATATTTTAAATCTACAATGTCTGCGTCACTGGTTTGATATGGTAAGAATTACAGTGCTGTCACTGAGAGAGGTTCTGCACTGATTGCTGGTTAGTGTGGTTCACCTATGGACAGCAGACGCAGAGAAGCTCCCCCAAAGGCAGGTTTAGACCTTTATTGCATTTTTGCAGGTGCCCTATTTCTCTTCAGTGAAAACAAGGAGCCAAGAGCACCTGGTCTCCTAGCCGTATCTTCTTACCTAGAGCTACATAGAAGTGTCTTTTTTTTGAGCTCTAACATTGTCAATACGAGGAGCTAATTTGCTGTGAACTCACATGTTTTGCTTGCAGCATAGCAACTTGCAGTGAGTGTAAGCCTCGTAGCACCAATAAATAAGCTGTAGCACACAGAACTTAGGGCAGTGCATTCAGGTGCCTGCACCCTGTAATGGGTTGTACTGGAAGTCTGCTGCAATCAGGAGATTACTGGTATCAGTGGATTTTGGAAGTGAAGATATACTGCTACAAAGAGCAGCAGGAAAACAAATATGTAACAGATTAAGTCTGAACAGTGATGGCTGACCAAAGAGGAATTGAATTTCTCCCTATAGTTCCTAGTGAACAGCTGCAACTGTCTCATTAAACTTCATGATGGGATGTTCTGGTTACACAGTAGAAAGAGCTTCCTGGTAATCCTGAGGGTTGAGCGTGGGACTGGAGAGCCCAGTGAATTTCCAGTATGCTTGCTGGTCAGAGCAGACTGAAAGAACAGGGATTATAAACAGTCCTCTTTCCACTTGTACTACATCTTAAAAGCTAAGGTCGTGGTGACCTCCTGGCCGATTTGAAGCAATACAGCTGGTTGTTCCCTGAGTGTGTGTGCAGATATCTATATAACTGCCCCCTCAGATGTTTCTGACAGATCCTGTGCTGCTTCTCTTTTTTGGGTTTGTCCTCTGATACGCATTGCCCTTGTGGGTCTCCTGCACAGGGAGGCCCTGTGAGCTTTGCCTGCTGTCCTCAGACCATAAGTCACCTGAACTGTGTTATTGTCTAGCAGAGCTCCCCACTATTTTAATTTAATTTTTATTTATGGCCTCTGACTTTCTTTCCCCATTGCTTCCCTCTCCACTTGTCAGTTCCTTCCCCCTGGGCTGATCACCAGCTCTGTGATGTCCATTCATTTCCATTCTGTTTTCCTCTGTCTCTCTATTCTATCTATTCGTGGCCACTAAAATTTTGGAGCCTGCAGGAAATAGTGGCTAAACTTTGGGCAATATAAGATTACTGAAAAGGAATTCACTGTGCTCTGAGATCTAAAAGGCAGTGTGCTTTGGATCATGTAGAAAAGGATTATGTGCAAGTGTGAGAGAATATTGAGATAAACTGACACTAACCTACCATTTTAGATGTATGAGAGAGACCTAGTTTTCCTTGTTATTACAAATGCCTACATCTTCAGTTCTTCCTTTAAGTGGTAGAATCACGGTCTACTTTAAAAAACAGTTTTCAGGCACAGCATTTTCCAATGGGATGTACCAATACAGTGAGGAGCTTAATACTGATTTACATGCTCTAGATACTGGCTTTTGTATACTCCAGAGGTCTTCCATTTTAGTCATATGCAAGAGACCTTTCTGCCTCCTAAATTCTGTGTGTGCAAGACATTCTCTATACATGACCATACACCAGCACGTGTGTCCCCAGCATATGTCTGGGGTTACTTTCTTAATAGGGTAAAAGCTGAGAAAGCATTAGTTTTTTTTTTTTTTTTTTTTTTTTTTTTATATTTCCCTGTGCTGTACTTACTGCAGATTTGTTGGTGTTGGTTTTGTTTTAGGTAGAAATGCTTGTTGTTATTATTTTTTTTTAAAGACCAACGGTTTATTTTCTTTGTGTAGGCTTTTGTAAAATAGACTGTAAGTATTTTGGCTCTAGGAATGGACAGGTGGAATCAAAATACCTTGACATGGCCTGTTATTCAGTGGGTACATAGTGTAAGAAAACAGTTCTAGCTGATGACTGCAGTAACCTAGAGTAATCCAAAGAGTTCACATTTGGTCTGGTCCTGACCCCATTTTTTGGGTAAAATGTAAAATTCAGGGTTAGATGATGTCTGAAGATCTCCGCAGTGAGGTAGGAATGTGATCATTTGTGACTAGCTTCTACCAGCAGAAACTTTCCATATACTTTACCTGTTCAAATCAGATCAGCTTTGGTGGCTTACACCCTCAGATCAAGCCAAAATCTCCACAGATTGTGCTTCAAGTAGAAGAAGGAAAAAAAGAAAAAGAAAAAAGAATAGAAAAAAGGAGGAAAAAAAAAAAAGGCAGGAGGAAATTTCTGTGTGTATGCAAGCAATACAATATCCCCGCACATGCATGGCAAAGGCTCCAGTGGAGAGGACATTGTCAAGATTGTCTGGAGCACAACTGGGGTAATATTGGAAGATATTTTCTGTGGAAATGGAAGATCAGTTTGGAAATATTCTTGATGAAGTACTGAGAAACACCACATTTTCCCCTTATGTTGATATTTCAATACAGCAGAATGAAGTTTTCTTTAGCAGTTTTCTACATTCTTTATGGTCCCATCTTCATGGCTTTTCCCAAGCTATCCCCAAATATTTTTTCCTGTGATCAATATAGGAAATGGATAGGGAACTATATAGTCAATCCTGCTCTTCAACCCAAGGTTTAGGAGGGTGTAAAGGCCAAACTCCTGTCAGACACTGACAGACGAAGTCCCTGGGAGAAGCATGTCCTTTTTCAGCATTGCTGGAAGTCTTGACTACGTAAGTCATGTCCAGCAACAGTTCACAAATTGCTGTTTTTTGCACAAGCATTCTCTGAAGCCCTTTGGGATAATAGTTTTCCACTTTTTTTTTCCCCACTTTGCCTTACCTCAACAGGCTGTGTATCTCCAAGGACAAAAACATGCAGCATGTTCACATCTGGGTCTTTCTTGAATATGTTGGGCTTGGCATGGTGTTGGAAGTGACGATGGTTCCACCAGTTGGCAGAGGCACCCTGGGCAGATACAGGGAGTTAATCCATGCAAAAGCACAGCTCCTCTAGTGGCAGTTGCAGTTAAAACAGTGCAACTCTGATTGTGCCCAAACTAATATTTGCTTTTGTAATAGCAGTAGGCGGCTGTGGTGGCAGTTACTATGAGACTGCTGGTTTCAGAGGGCCCGTGCCAGCTATGCCAGACTGCTTTGCCCTCACTAAAGATCAAATAATTTGAAAGAACAGGCCATAAAGCTACACTCGGTGACTTGCATCTCACAATGTCTTCCTACAAGTGAGGTTGCTATTAATAGCTGAATGGTAGGCTATTTCCACTTGGTGTCTTACTGACTGTTGTTGCTGCTTTCCCTCTATTGAGCAGGAGGAGCCAGGCAATGCAAAGACGGTTTGGGAGAATGGGCAAAGGTATGTCCTACCCTGCTTAAGTTCCTACTGCAAGTGGGTGCTGAAATGCTTGTCTGCTTTGGACCTTGCCTATGATTTAATTCTGATGATACCTGGAATGGATGGGATATATCAGGATGGGACACTTAAAAAATACTGAAGCTTAGTGGGAAGTAAGTGGAAAATATGACAGGGTGTTAAAACAGTGTTTTATGCAACTTAATGAGCTCTGTCCTCAGCTGCTATAAATTAGAGCAGTTCTACTGAGGTTGGTGGAATCGCTGTGTTCTGTAACAGCTGTAGTTGTGCTCTCATCTCTCTCTCTTCTATGCAGCAGCTCCATGTGCAATTGCTCACTGACTTCTCCTCTCTGCATCTGCTCCCCATGGAAAGGCTGAGAGCTGCAGTTTCCTGCTTTGATGCAGTCAAAGCGACTGCAGCTATTTCCACAGTGTCCCGCGTCCCCAGTGACCTTTACCTTCAGGTGTCCAATCACAAACTTGTGGACGAGGTGGTTCCAGGAAGACTTCTTGAAGACAGACAGGTGTCCAAAGTCATGTTGCAGCCACCCTGCCTGGGCCTGGGATGATGGAAAATAAATCAGATAAGTGTTTGAATGTTGGCAGGCTCAGTGCTGAGACCACATCCCCTGGGAGCCTGAGTGCTCAACCACCCTCTCGGTGAAGAACCTTTTCCTAATGTCCAGCCTGAGGTGTTATAGATGATCTTCAGGGAGAAGAGATCAGTGCCTCCATCTCCTGGAGAATGAAAGGTGCAAGAGGCAAGAAAAACGTGTGATGCAAAAGCACCAGGGGCAGCCAGAAGGCACCATAGGGGCAGATGTGAATGTTTTTCCTAGTTCCTAGGTCTAACAATAAAAGTTCAGTGCACGTTGACCTCACTGAGTACCCGGTATGCTCTGTGCCTACTGCTTCTTACCTGAGAAGTTGCAAGGATGAACGCAAGGAGGAGAGTTGTGATCCAGCCGGTGCCGAAGTATGAAACCATTAGCCAAGCCAAAGCTTCCAGTGCAATGATATGAGCCAAGTAAAGTAGAGAAGAACAAAGGACTTGCTCTGAATAAATTCATGTCCTCTGCTGTCTTCCTCAGGGTCCGGAAATCCTCCACCAGCTGGGGCTGCAAATGGACATGTAAGACACAGCATGCAGCATGTGAGTAAGTCTGAATGTGTCCAGGGAAGGCTCCATCCTAAGGACCTTGGCTGTTTCTTGCTTTGGTTGGCTACCCCAGAAGTAAGGAAGTACTAATCTCCATGTTCACACTGCTTTCTAGCTTTCCATAGCACTTTCCTATGAATCAACACCCTGGCTGGCCTCAGCCTGGGTCCTGACCTTTTGCACCCTGAGCTAGGAGAATTCTGTGAATCAGCAGCACTACCTTGCTATGTCATCATATGTGTTGATGACTCTAGTCTGAATGAGCTATACAAGTATTAGAGAGCTGGAGAATGAGAGAATTCAGTCCTATTACTTAAGTATAATTCCAAACCTTCTGTGATGAGCACCCAAGGGCTGGCTGAAGGATATGGGATGGATGGAAAAGGTACTTGTTGGGTTGCTCCTTCTTAAGCACACCTACTGAAATGGGACATCTGTTTCACCTCACTCATGAGTACCTATTGCTCTGCCACTCATGGCACAAACACCTGTACAGAAGTCTGAACGTTTCAACTCCCTCTCACATTTTTATCCACGCACATTGCTGCACAGAGGTGTTCAGCTGCTTTCTCTTTCTCTGCAGCTGCCTGTACTGAAGACACCTTCACAATCTGTCTGATGTTTTTTCCACATCTTGGAGAACATCCTGAGAGGGGAAAAAAGTGGTGGAGTATGCCCACAATAAACCCCAGCTCAGAAGAAATACTCACATTTTTATCTCGATCTTGGCTGGGTTCCCCTGGAGCAAGCTCTCCGATCAATAACGGCTTGAGAAACTTTTGCACCAAGGTGGGATTGATATGGAAGGCCTGGAATGCATCCTGGAACAGAAATGTGATTAACTGTGAGATTCAGGACTAGCTGGACTGACTTCCATCTCTGGGATTCAATGCAGTACTGTTACTAGAGAAGATTTCTGCTGGAGGCTGCTGAATTTGCTTACCTGGTAGAAAGTAAACAGCGAGAACTGGGATGCTATCTAGACAGATGGAGAAAGGCACCTCAGGAAACTTCCTAAGCACCTAAATACCTAAGTCCTGCTAATTCCTTTGGAAGGCAGGCCAGTAGGAGTTTGTGCAAATCCCCTCCGGGATATAAATACCCTTTGAAAGTCTGCTGCCTGGAGGCAATTCAAGAGAGGGCGTTTTTAGAGTGTGTTTGATTTGGTGTTCACCTAGAGCATACGGCAAAGTGGAAGAGAATGAATTTATCTAATAGATCACTATAGGTTTTGGTTTTACTGAACAAGCTCTTTGGTATACCCTCAAGGGTATTGATAATAAGTGCAGGTCCTTTTGGACCAAAATCAGAAGAAAAAAAAAAAGAAGCTTAACCCTATCAAGGTACTGTTATGTATTATTTTTAATTCCTTTTCTTCATATCTAAATTTTCTAAAATTGACCATCTCAGACCCTGATTATTCCATGCAACATCATTTATGAATCTGGTGCGCTAACTATATCTTTTTTTTTCTCTTTTTTTTTCTCTATTCCTTCCTCATTCCATATCTTTTTGTGTATCTGTGCCCTGCAGATACCTGATGGGAGCATATATTTGATGTATCCGCTGCTAGTGAAGTCTTGCACATCCCTCATTTCACATCGCTTGAATTTTAACCCCAAAGGTAGTAGTAGGGACAGAAAGTTCACCAATTATGATCTCCTTTTCTCATTGTATTGAAATCCCTATATTGTTCATTTTATGAGTAAGGGAAATACAACTGGAGTATTGTCAAAAACAGAAGTCAGAAGTACCATGCTTCAGCCTTTCTTCTTTTGTCCCATTTTCTAACCAAGGACCAGCTAAATCTCACCTCTTGTTCTGAATGGGAAAGGCAGATTGTAAAGTGCTCATTGTGTCTAGCTGACCTTCCTGTGAGCTGAATTCCACTGATAGGCCAGCTCTGGTGTTTGTAATTACCACCAGCAACTTTGGTTCCAAAGTCCTCTGAAACTTTCAGCTTATTCCAAGATTTAGGATTGAGCCTCAAAGTAATACTTGGACCATAGACATTTCACTGTAAGAGGCAGGAGAGTGAAAGCTGGTCTCTGGCACTTAGCTTGAAGTTAAAGAAATAATATATGAGAAGAGAGTCAACAGAAGGATGGAAAGAACAGGTTTTTTATTTTATTAGTGTATATATATGTATAAATATTAATAAAGATTACAAAAGCCTTAAAATGCCAGAGGCCATGGGGGAAGATGCAAAAAGGAGAAAAAATGTCATTACAGCAGATGGGGGAGGCAAACTGAAATGCACTGGACTTTTCTAGTTACTCTCAGCTCAGCTCTCATGACATTGCTAAGTGTCCAAACTATCCCATTCGGAAACAATTTCAGAAACAAAGCGATATCTGTTATCACGGGGGAAAGTTTGGATGGGTTTGCCCTGTTCTACTCAGGAAGACTGCCACACTGGCAAAACTTATCCCAATTTCAAGCATGAGTGGGACCAGTGCTTTCTGATTGCATTGTGTTATTTATTGGTGTTACCTTCTTGGTGCCAAAATGAAGGTAAAACTCCAGGGCCAGCAAAGCTGTTACCGTAGCCCTGTTCTGCAGACAATTTGAGTTTCCCTGCTATAATTTGCGGAAGATGTGAAAGAGGAAGGAAGACCAGAAAGAGTGGGGAAGTGAGTATCTGACTGTACCTGCTGCAAGGTTGTACCATTTTGAGGCGAAAAGTATGACAGGTAAAAAAAGGAGAAGGGTAAGGAGGGAGAGGGTGAACGCTGAGGAAGCACTGAAGAATATTCTCAATATTGTTCAAGTTAATGGGGGAAAGCCATCTTTGGAGGTCTGGCTGGCTACCTCCTTACCTCCATGATGGAGATCACTCAGGTTTATGTAGCTGTTAATGGCAAGGTGACTCAGAACAGCAGCTTCTGCCTCACTGCCTAGAAGGTATTTCTGTTCACCTAAGGCTTCCCTGGCAGCAGCACATCTGTTTTCTAAACATGCTCTGTCATGACTTTTCTGGGGAGAGGTCTCTTCCATCTCTGAACCCTTCTTCCTTGGTTGGATGAAAAGTAAAGGCTGAAACTGGTCAGAGATGTAAGCATGCATGTCAGAGCACAGTTCTTACTTAGAACTATATATTACTGATCTTCTACTTCACTGCCATCTTGAGCTTATTCCATGAAGAAAGTGATGTTAGAAGGAAAGCTTCACCTTCACTGGGGGTGGCTGAAAAATACTACACATATATCACTGGCATAGGTAGAGGATGAGATTTTTCAGTGTAGTCTCCAAGCATGAGACAGAGTATCATATCCTAATACTCCTACCATCATCAGGCAGAAAGATACTGGTGAAGGAAAAATAGCTTTTTGATTTGCTGTATCTCATGTGTCTCCTTTACAAATAGGTCCTGAAATTTGGAATTGTCCTCAAACCTGTATTGGAGGAGAGATAGAGAGCAAAAGGTGGAAGATACACTCTGGAAAATACCACGTGATACTTACATCTGACCTCTCAGTTTGGTGGTCTATTGTCCAGGTAAGCTGATGTGTCTTATGGGAAGTGGGAATTATCCCAGCTGCTGTTTTGTGAAAAAAGCTTTACTTTATTGAGGTATGAGCTGTACACGAGCATCAAAGTACTCAGTGCAGTCAATGCAAAGACATTCTTTCACATCCTTGAACATTCCTAAAACAGAGGCTGGAAGGTGTCTGTTCATATTCTAAGCCTTGTTCGCTTACTGAAAGCAATTGTGCATAACGTGATGCCAGAACATGTTCTCCCAGACTGGTGTGCTGTAGCAGTATCCTAAAGTATGGCCTAAAATGAATGAATGCACCCAATATTGTTAGTACTTGCAGGGAAAATTCATGTGTAAGCTAGCCTGGGCTCTCTTGACTTGATCAGCATCAGCTGAACATGCTGAGCATAAAAGCTGTCACGGAGCTTTTCAGGCAGCTATCTTGTGAGCATCCTGAGATGAATTAGCTCACACATCACTAACCAAGTTATTTTAGAGCAGCCCCAGCGTGGATATAGAGTTCAGTGAGTCTGTTTGTGGGCAGTCTGCTGATAGATTGATACACCTGATCCTACTAGAGCATTGGTAAAAGATAAATGGAGAAGTAGCTGAAGTTCCTTTGGTGCACCTTTGCCGGACTGTAGGTCCTAACTGCATGTGATGCTAAGGGGAATTCCAGAAAGGTGAAAGCCATTCAAGAACTAGGAATGAAAACATGTTGAGACTGAGTTATTATCATTGCCTTTTCCTCCTCTTAAGCTCTTCCATTTGTGATATTGCAACTCAAAATGAATCTTGTTAGTAAAGCCTTGGCAGACTCAAGGACAAGGATTTCTCACTCTGAATGCAAGAATTTATTTTGTATTAAAATGTGATTCACCATAGGAAAGTTGGAATCCAGATACCAATTCCATTTTAGTGCTCGGGATGGAAGGGACAATTTCAGAGCACTCTTAAGACCGCGTCTTCTTAGAGTATGCTCTGAGTATAGTGAGATGCAAGGTACTCTGGAGAGGTGGTAGGGGAAGCTAGAAGTAGCAGACTCACAAATTTGTTTCAGTTTCCCTTGCAAAGATCAGAGACAAATACACTACCAGATGCTTTTTCATTTCTAGTGGAGGTATTACAGTACATTCTTGGGGACAGGAGCGCAGCTCCTCTGATTTTAGCAGTCCCTGCACTTATGCAGCCCAGAGAAAATCCTCACCCAGCTACTTCTTTTGGAGGGAGAAAGCTTTTCATTCAGAGGTTTTACTGGAAGGGGACAGGAACACTAAAATGCATCTCAGTGCTTCAAGGAAACCAGTGGAAAATAACCACAAACCTCAGACAGATGGAGAAGGAAAGGAAAATGTTAGTAATTCTTGCCGATTAATTCTGTCACATGCACAGCCTCCTTCTTGATAAAAGTATTAAGAGACGTGGCAGATACACAGTTAAAGTTACAGCTTGATCCCTTCTGCTGCTTACCATGCCCATGGAAAAGCTCTGAGGCAGTTTAAATTTATTAATTTGGGGCTGGTGCTGAGGGTGAGGACATGCTCAGCACTGTACGCGCTTCTGAAGTAGGTGGCTTTGGGAGAAACTGCAGACAACACTTTCTGAAACACTTTGTTCCTTTTTTTTTGTTTTTAAAAGTTGCTGAAACACGAGAGGCAGCTGAAACAAGCCAGCTATGAAGCGTAGGAGCAGCTGTAGCAGCAGAAAACTTTTTTTTTTTGCCCTGTAGAAACCTGCAACAACATTTTCTCGAGAATTCACCACAGGGAAAAGGCTAAAAAGCTCCTTGTTTGAAAGCCTCAAGCTCACCCTGTCCAACAGAAGCATCTTTGAAACGCGGGCTGGACTCTTTTAACCCTTTCTTGTGTTTGTTTTCGGTGTAGCTCGCGTAACTACGCCCTGGAGAGGGGGAGACTGGGGACACTTGGATTACGAAGCGTCGAAAGACAGCACAGGCAAGAAACAAAGACAAGCAGCAAGGCTTAAGCAGAGCCGAGCAGTTTTTACCACCCCACTCTTCCAGATGTTATTGCCCATGGCTGCAGGGAGCTGGCTGCCCAGGCGTCGCATGGATGCGCGCCCAGCGCTTTGCTCCTCGGTGCTAGAGCAGAGCTGAGCTGCAGGTGGTAGAGAGCTGGGGGAGAGGGAGGCTGTGCAAAAAATAACAATAATAATCTCGTTCTCAGTAACCCTGAGGATGGCAGCGACCTGTCAGAGGCTGCTGGCGAAGCCTGGGGGCAGCCCCGCGTGTGTCCGTGCGCTCCTTACCGTGGCATCTTCCCCGGCGCAGTGGCTGATGACTCGGTGGCCCCCCGGGTGCCTGTGAGCCCACTGGGTGACATTGTACACCTTGCGCTCTATCACCAGCCACTTGTCCGTCCTCAGGTTGTGCTTCTGGATCTCCTCCCAGGTGTAGAGGGGGATCTGCGCCTTGCACTCCCCCGACTCCTCGCTTTTCTCCCCCCCTTTCCCCATTTGCCGGCCGCTTCTTTGTCTTCTGGCCGAGCGGGGGGGACCTGGCCGCGCTGCCCTCGCTCGCTTTCGCTCAGCTGCTCCCCTGCCCTCTCCCTTTCCTTTCGCTCATGTCCTCCCTTCTCTTTGTCTCTCGGCTCTGGAGCCGGCTCGGAAGTGCCCCCTAGGCTAATTTTCCCGGCGCTGATGTACTTTCACCTCGCACACAGCCCCGCTCCGTGGGAAGCTCTGCCCATTTCCCCCCCCGCTCCCGCACCCCCCGCGTCCTCCTGCATTCAGTACCGGTGAGGTTTCCCCCGGCATCAGCAGAGCTCCTGCACCAATCCCGGCCCTCCCGAGCCCGAGCAGGTCCCTGCCATTGGTCTCGGCCGATCTTTCGAAGGGCAAAGCCGGCAGCCGGCCAGGCTGCGCCGCCAGCCCGCGGGGGTGCGACTTGCGCCGGGGGGCGAGCAGCGCTGGGGCAGGCACCCCCTCTTCCCCTCCCCATAACTCCCCCTTTTCCCCCCGTTTTTCTTCTTTTTTTTGTCTTGTTTTCTTTTCATCAGGACTTTGGCTCCTGCTTTAAAAAGCATTTTTCCCCCCTCCTCCTCTTTTTGCTTTTTTTTTTTTTCTTCTCTCCAAAAATCACTGCACTACTTCTCAGCTAGCGCTGCACCTCAAAAGGGGATGTTTGATATTGGTGTCCTGCCCGAAATTTACATCGTTTCGCTCTGCCCTGCAGACTCAGAGGCTGTCAGCCTCCACAGTTCCTTCCATCACACAAGACCTGCTTGTTCTGCTCACAACAGGCTCAGCTAACGATCCCCCACTCAGGGCGATGCTTTGTTAACAGGGGAGAAAGCGCAGCCTTTTTCCTTGCCGTGGGGCACTCTATGCTAAAATAATCCTTGTCGTTAGGTTATGCAAGGCGTTGCAGTGCAGGAGCAAAAACAATGGGCCAGCGTTTTCGCTGATGTCTATCTCACATCTGGGGATATCTGTGGCTGCTCTCCAGGGCAAGGCAGTCATGATCTGCAGCTTTCCTGGCACTAAGTATCCTTACTTGTGGCTGTTTGCTTTAGTAAGTGGAAGGTTTATTATTCCTTTCTCTAGAGGCTCTAGCTGTTTTTAAGCAGACTTCCTACATGAGCTGTTCAAATGTTTTACTCTACAGATTGCCCCTCTTGAGTTAGAGAATAGAAGTGCTTTTCTGCCCTATGATCAAATCTTAGGACAAGAGCAAGGGTTCAGTAGCTTGGACCTTCGTTTGTCTTGTGTTTCAGTAGCCCTGTGTCTGCAAAAGTAGGGAGGAAAAACATTTGGTAAACTATCAAATGTTTTAAATTCTATGCATTTATTTACTCTTCAGCCATCTACTCCACATCTCTGCTGAAAGAAGGAGCTTATACATAAGATAAGAGCACCTTCTTCAGTGAAACTTCAAGATGCATCTCCAGCCCTGGTGCTCTTGTGCTCCTGTCCAGAACCAGCCTTAGTTTAGAGCAAGCATGGATAAGAGTGCTCTGGTTTTGCCTGCTGCCATGGGCTTGCTGGGAACAGTGACTGAATAATTAAAAATCTTTTTCTCCTCTCCTCCTTCCCACCTACGCTCCCTACATGGGGTATAGGAATGGAGACTGAAGTGAAAACACACCCATTGCTTCTATACCAGTGGGAATCACTTGGTGCTGTCCTCATGCCAAGGCATGCTGTAGGTTCTTCTGCTTCTGCCTGGTCTTATTGCTGCATGAGAACCTCAGACTATCAAGCAGCCTTTTCTGCGGTGTGGGATGATGGAAGTCAAAAATGAAAGGAATGTTTTCCTAAGACTTGCTAGTTTTATTTAGTTTGGTTCAAAATAGACCTCTGACATTTATTCATGTCAGAAAGACGCTATTTAAATGGAGCTGAAGCTTGCTGCATGTCACGCGGGAAAAGTTTTCCCCCTTAATTTTTGTGCTGTGTTCTCTGAATTTCAGGATTCCAATCCCACTTGTGCTGTCAAACAGCAAGCTGGATGCTTTAAGCCTTGTAGTGCTAAGGGTGTGCCCTCACAGCCTGCCTTTGCTCATAATCATGCACCTGGAGGCTGCCGCTGCTGTGGTTTTTCGGTGGAGTCCACGTGCTTCTATCTTTGCGACCTTGCACAGGTGCATACTAAAACCTTGTTCCTTCTGTTATTTCTGGTTTATCCTGGGAACTAATTGCCATTGATAAATGGTTCATTCTTCTTACCCCCTCCTTTTTTAAGAAAAACTTTTTACCTTGGAGCTTTTAGTTTATAACTTCAGATTCTATTAGATAATATAGTAGGTAAATCATTTATAAATCCAATAAATATCACTCTGCAACGTACATCAAGAAGGCTTGTATGTGCATGTACATGTGCACTGAGCATGCAGCTCCTGACCTCATCAAGTGTGCTTCAACCAGTGCTAACATCGTCTTAGGCAGGGTCACCAGTTTAAGTGGCTTTGGTTGAAAACTGTTCAAAAACCAAGCAGGTTCCCAGAGAGGATGTCCAGAAGAAGACAATTGTCTGGAAGACCCCATTGCTTCTTTCCTTGACTGGTCATTATTGTTTCCTAGGAAGAAACCCTGCCAGCAAATAATTTATCCGTCCACCCTGGAGGATTTGGGGCTTGGTAATGTGAAATGTTGAGCAGCCTCACTGACTGATTACAGGGGCTGTAATGACTTGTATAGCAAATAATGGATCCTGAAGGGAAGCCTGGGTTAGACTGGTGGGCTGAGATTGCAGGGAAAAAGCACCCTCGCCCAGAAGAATCCAGAGGGAAAGAAACGTGAAAAAGAGCGATGAAGTCTGGTGGTAAAAGTGGAACTGAATGAAAGGGACCAACAGAAATGCTTTAGATATATTCATTTTGCGTTTAGGTGCTATCATCCTCAGAATGTTTCTGTTTAGTAAAAGGAAATATATATAAAAAAAAAGAAAGGATGTCACAGGAATGACATAGGCTAGGTTAATGTGCCCAAATTTTTCTGTTTTTGAAGCGCACCATTTATTTAAAAGTTTGCAACAGGAATCAGTAAATACCAGGAACAGTGTTGTGAAGCATGGGATTTCATACCAGCTTGTCCGGTGCTTTGGTACTCAGCAGGGTAAGTGAGGGAGAGCTGGGACTTGAAAACTATGTGCTGTCAATGGGACGTCACTGCAGGAGGGGGAGAGCAACTAAATATCCTAGCAATTGCCTCTTTGGGATGTCAGAAGGGGTGGTTATGAAAAAGATATTGGTGCACTTCTGTGAAAGGCATAACTATCAAGCTATTAGCCTCGTTGTCTTCCTCTTATTCTTTTCCTTTCTCCCATTGATAAAGTTACTTGATAATTATTTGCAAATGCAGCAAATCAGTCAATCAAGCACACAGAGACATGTAAGTTTGTTTTGTCGTGTTTTTGGAGGGGGACTTAAAAAATGTTTTTTAGTGAACCCTGCCTGATAGACTACAGAGGAATTTAGTGTTGAAGTTGCACTTAAGGAACTCCAAATGCAATGAAATGAGAAATTATGTCTAAAGAAACATAAGCTCTTAGCAGCAGTGAGAGTCACCTACCTTTTTCATGAATATATATTTCTGCCTTTTTTTTTTCAGGTCATCGCTTTTTCGCCTTTTGCATTCTGCCGATCTTTTTACAAGAGAGCTCCACCGTAGAAGGCAAACAGAAAGAGGTAGGGGTAGAAAACGTGTCTGAACGTTTTATTTAGAAGCAACTCTGAGACACCTCTATTCTCTTTTTACTTTGACCCTGTTGTGAGATGTATCTACTGATATTCTGAGTTTCTGCTTGGGAGTATAGTGTAATTTCTCTATGGATTATTTGAATTTTCAGTCTACAGCTCTGAAACAGGGCACTAACTGTAAAAGTCAGGTTGTTATAAGCGTTGTTTGCTAAGAAATATGGTAGTACAGCCCCCACACAATGATATGAACTTTTTAGTGCGTATGAAGATTTATTTTTGGTTTTCATCTGTAATTTATAGTGTATCTGCGGGGTCATTTGAATTACTTTAACACTTCCACTTCTGGTAGCAGTTCAGGACAAAGGTCTGCAGTATCTCTTGCCCTGCCGCTTCTGCAGAATGAGATTCTGCACAGCTTTAAATTATTGAATCCAAATGATTTTCCTGTTAATAGCAACTCAAGATCTGATTTTGTAGATTCTCTGACTATGCTGAGAGAGACAGTAGCTCTTCTTGGAGCCAGGAGGTTGGACTACAGCCCTCCAGAGCTCCTTTCTAACCTATATTATTTTATAGAAGATTGCAAAGCTGAAGAGGATAGCGATGTCTAACAAGAAGAAGAGGGCCATTAGGCAACACAGAAAAAGAAATAAAAAAACACACTATGATTAATTATCTTAGGATGCATTTCTTCAGACTTCACTAAGGTTATTGTATCATTAGAAAGAAAGCTTGTGTAGGGAAATCCACTCCAAAGCCAGATTTTTTAAAAGGAATTTAAGTTTGCAAACTCATGAAATATTTTTGCTCATTCCGTGTCCTAATTAAAGGTTATGTCCTCTGTATCCAAAAGTGGTTTCAAAGTCATGGTTTCTTTTGACCTTGTAGAGATAAAGATATGGATTATTTGTAGCTCACAGCATGAACTGATGGTCATAGTCCATCAGATGTCTAGTCAATAAAAGAAAGGTATTAGATTATTTTGGTGGCTATTTCTTATTAGTAATTATCTTGTTTATGTAAAACTTTTCCAGTTAGTCCGTGGAAGTTCATGCTTCAGAGCTGATGACTTTAAGCAGTGGATGATCAATGCATGGCTGGCTACAGATGGAAACTCTGGGCTTGAAGCGTAGATTTCTCTGAGCGTGTCCTCCCCTGGGAGAAATGAATTGATAAGAAGGTAGGTGCATTTTGGAATCGTCTGTCATATACGTGAGATGGACATTGATACCAAGACTGCATACTGATCTCTTCATTTGATGCCCTGGATATTTCACAGAAAATTGTGTAATAACTTAATGGCAAATCATTTAAAAATTTCTATCAAAAAACAAAACAAAACAAACAACCACCAACAAACAAACAAAAATCCCAGCACTATCATCTTTCTGTAGCACAGCCTGTAATGTTGGCAAGGCTTTATGTGGCACTTGCTCTAGGGTTTGTTTGGCTCATGGGGCACAAAACCAGCCAAGGCAATGAGAGAACGGGTTGTTCTGTGGCCAACTAGGTGAAAGGCAGCGT